GTTTGTTCAGAAATCTGATGGGAAAAAAATCAAAAAGAATGACATTTTGGAGAGGCGTCATTAGTAATGCCCGGACTGGAGCAGGAGGTGTGAGTGATGTTTTGGATCAAATCAAAGGAGAGGGAACAATGCTCCGTACGACACAGTCTGCTGTTTGCACGGAGCACCTGCTCCAACATTTTGAGCACAGCGACCATTTGTACACTCGACTAACAATGACTGAGATAATGCTAATGGGAGTTAGATTATAAATATATTAATGATTGAATATGATTATGTGTGTGAGAGAAAGAAAGATGGGAAAATAAATATAATTCAGTGCTTTTGGTAATTACTTTGTCTTTAAAAGTACAATGAATAGGACAGACACACACACACTCAAACACATACACACACATTCATTACAGCTTCTTGATTCTTTCCGTGAGAGAGTGGCTCTCCAGAATACTGAGCAGATCATTATATACATTAGGTTTTCTCCCATCTGTCTTTTCCAACAGCACACCAGACCAAAGATTCAACAGTGTGTGCAGAGAATTATTAACTGCAACTCGATAAAAAATACACAAAATCGTTAGTTTCTGCAGAGCTGCATAGAAGAAAACGCGGTATTGTTTGGTCCCCTGACATTATGACTATCACGCACGCAAACACGCACACACACATGCACGCACACACACACACACACGCACGCACGCACACACACACACTCACGCACACACACAAACGCACATTCACTCAGTGACATTCACGACAAAATGGAAAAGGTCAGTCTCCTGTCTGCCATGGAGCACAGGTTACATCCTGTGATCTTTTTGTGTGGGTGTGTGTGTGTGTGTGTGTGTGTGTGTGTGTGTGTGTGTGTGTGTGTGTGTGTGTGTGTGTGTGTGTGTGTGTGTGTGTGTGTGTCTCCCTCACACAGTCTTTTTAAACAGCTTAAGGTCTGCCTGATGTTTTTGCCTTTGCCCTGATCTCTGATCTTTCATCTCTAGTTGTACAAAAGGTAACATTATTTAATTGTTGGAGGCAGTGTAATGCTGCTCAAATAACACTTTAATCAGGACTATAATCCAATAAATTCACCCAGTCTCACAAACCTCACATTTTGTGCTAAATGGCCTTTGAGTCGTGTTTTTGACCACCTGATGAATGTCTGTTAAATATTCAGCTCTGTTTTTGGTCTTCTAACTTCACTCCAACATCTAAACATATATATTGTATGACAATTCTTAGATAGAAATATATTGTGTAATTTTTTTTAAACATAAAAATGCCACTTTATATCATCATGAATAATGCAATACATCTGTTTACTTTACTTGTGTTCCTCTTTTAACCCTTAATAATGTTTACTATCTTGTATATACTGTATATTTATTATATGTTTTTATTCTTGCTATATCTGTTTGTGATGATGAATAACCCGTTAGCATTGCCCCTACTTAAAAATGGGCATATCAAGCTAATGCTAGCATGGTCAGTTGGTAAATTAAGCTACAGTTGGCAGAAACCACCTTCAACTATTTAGAAACAACAAACTCATCAATACAGATGTTTGTTTGGTGCAAGCACAGTGTTTGCTGTAATTATGTTATTGTAGGCCTATCTATTTTTGCTTTAAACTAAAATAAACTGGGACTTGTAAGAACAGTAGCTGATAAAGACCTGAGATCTCCTATGGTTTGGAGTGGAACAATGAGGGAGGTTGTGTATAGAAAGCATGTAAATAGCTTTGGCAGGAATATCTGTGCAAAATTAAACCCCAAGTGTCTCAGCACAGATACATTTACGTGCCTGGCTTTGATTTAGAGGCGCAAACTTGTTCCAGCTCCCCCGCACATGTGCACGGATGTTTGATGACACAAAAGCACACTCACAATCCTTCACCACATCAGCACATACATAAATAAGCTCACATCAATTCTCTCTCCAATGCAAAAAGAGGAGGAAGAACTCACAGATGCACACACACATCCACAGCCTGACATCCACTCATTCACACACAGTTCAACAGAGATGCTGGAGCCTTTTTAATGCAGCATCTGTTCTCCTCCTCGCTAGCCAATAATTGCTAATGGAGAAATGAAGTTCATACATTCCTTCTGTCACTTATTGTTTTATGACAGAACGGGGGGACATACGCGGAGTGTGTGTAGACTATGTTGTAATTTGATTTCAGACTTATTGCCTTGGTCAATATTTCCTCACTTCTGTCCAATTTGTGCAGAGTAATTTGATTCATGTGAGCTTGCAGAGTGCGTGGATGGTAAAAACCGAATTTGTGGGACTGGCTGTTTCCTTTGCACTTCATCACGGCTGAACTAAGACTTTTAAAAGTCCACAGTAAGGTGCAAAGTATTTTTTTCAAACGACATAACCTAACAATACATTTTCATCTGGCGTCTGCCGTTTCTCCGCTTCCTCTCCGTGCTGACTCACTTCCAACTCTCTTCTATTTTCTCTGAGAACAGAACATGATTTGAGGTGCAATTTCATTTTGGCAATAGTTGAGGTCTTTATGAAAGATTGCAAAAAGGATTACAAAACTATCAATGTTTCATTTCCTTTGCAAAAATGAATGCACATGTGTTTCACTACAGTGATGCTGAAGGTCCAACACAAACCTTTCAAGAGAGATCTGCTCTCTCTCTCTTTTAGTTATTTAAAGGAATCTCATTTATAGTAATGGTAACTTCATGTATACGTAAGTGTGTCTCTTGAAATCCTGTTTTATTTGATACAATTTGTTTTGATCTGCGCTCAATGCTGTCTTTCCTAGTTCAATTAGGTGTCATTATCTGCTGTTGCCATTTATCTTTTGACCCACAGTTTGTAGATGTTGAAGTTGGATGTCATATTGTGTTACCTCTCTTTTTGCTAATGAAGAAACACCATCAGCAAATGAACGGGTTGACTCCGACTCTGTGTCTGAAGTAGCCACAGTGAGACGTGTCTGCGTAAGTGCAGATATGAGTGGCCATTTGAGATTCACAACATGTGTCATATGTGTCAGATGAGATACTGCGGAGAAACCGAGGGTGCTGGAAAGAAAAAGAGCCTCTCCCTGCAGAAATAATAAGCCACCTCTCTTTATCATCCTCATCATTTCTCCTCATCATATTTCCTTTCAGTCCTCTTTTATGTCTGACCCTCACCTTCATCTCTGTCTGCTTGCCTTAGTCATCCCTTCCCTCTCCTTTTGGATAATCTAAAAGGTACTCATCTACATCTCTGCAGTAAGATCAGAACGACCTCAAGCTTTTTCCAAATCACGATCAAAAGCAGACTTCCTATGGTAACCTCATCTACGTTGGCTTCGAGCACAAACATAATCATAACATGTTTTGTTCTCGGGGGTTACTGAGTAGCATGAATGAGCCCTGGCTTGTCCTTTTTTGCTCTGTAATGGAAATCTGACTAATGGGAGATCAGAGGAAACAGAGGAGCATGCTGGGAGACATTTGCAGCATGGAGTTTAAGCCTCACTGAGAAAATCAAACATTATCATTATGTGCACTGCATGAGATGTCAGTGTGATGTTTACTTCTTAGCAGTGTGGTTGTGTGTCACAGGGATTTAAATTAGTATGAATGTACAGATATGAGAACGTATTATTAGATCTAAACGGATGCAATTAGCATTTTCTTTTGATTTACACAAACTTAACACACTTTTTTTCCAAATCATATCAAATCAAAACAGATCGAAACATTTAAGATTAACATATATCAAAGTTCACTAATTTACTTGCGTTGTGCACAATGAAGCTTTACTGATGGTGCACTGCTGTTAATTTTAGCCACGGTAGCTAAGGGATGTCAATGCAGATCAGTAAATCCACCACTTTGGTGAGAACTCAAATATCCCAACAAATATTTGATGATATGCCATGAAACATTAAACACACATTCATAGTCATCTGAAACCTAAGGATGACTTTGAAGCCCTTAGTTTTGTTAGAGCCATCACCAATCTTGGCTTTTAGTGAAAAATCTTGACAACTTTTGGACGTTTAAAACTTAAATTCAAACCTCCCATTATATACACAAACACAAGTTACAAATAAATAATTGCCCATTGCAATTCTGACTTATATTTGTCTAGGTTTAAAACCTATTGTGGTGTCTCGTCAATTGTGTTAGTGGTGTTTGTTTTATGTCTGTCATTTCATGTTTAGTCAGGTATGTAATTCCAAGTCTAGTCAGGTTTCTATAGAGTCAGGTTTTCTTGTTACTTCACGTCTTGTCTGTCTATTTTATGTCTGTCATCTCTAGTCAAGTCCCCATGTCTCATGTAATGTCTCGTTTTCCCATTTCCTGTTTTATTTTGTACTTACCTCTTGTGTTTCTTTTCAGGTCCTGTTACTTCCTCACTTTGGGTGTTTTTCCGCCATCGTCAGCGTCTGCCCCGCCCCTGATTGTTTCCACCTGTTCCCAATTCCCTCATGTTTAAATAGTCCTTGTCTCCCTTTGTCTTGTGCCAGTTCGTCTTGTTTCAGTGTGCTTCTATGTCCAGAGACCCAGCGTGAAAACCAGAGAGGAGAGTTTTGTTTGTTTGAAATCAAGAAGTTTTTTTTTTTCCTCGCTCGAGTGATTTTTTGTTAAAACTTTTTTTTTTTTTTTCCTCATTAAAATATGAGTCGTCGCATTTGAGTCCATTATTTTGTACCCCGTTCTAACACCTATACTCTTCTATTAACACTATAGATTTGCCTCTGCTCCATTGACATTTACATAGCTCTTTTTTTAAAACCTTTTTAAAGGTAGACTTTAAATAGAAAGTATGCATTATTATGAGATAAATGCAGGTACCTTATATAACTTTGTATATTTTGTGAGCAGCTTAACTTTCAGTATACATACACGGGGATACGTGCCAATTAAAACAATCGACATTGTATGTCTGGAAGATACTTGATTATAAATTAATATAACTATTATTACTACAGTGACATAAAGAAATTAGAAAAGCAAGTTTATCTTTCATTTGTATCATCATACCTTCTTTGTCTTGTCCATGGCCTTCAGTATGCACATATTCAGGTCTTCTAAGGCACCGAGAACATTCTCATATTCACCGAGGTGCTGGGAGAAATACTCTTCACGCAAGAAAGACACAAAAAAAGAAACATGTTGTGAGTTAAATGGCTAGGACAGGGCTGTAGGTGTTTTGCTGAAGCAGCAGTGACACCTCAGTCATGCAGCCTGTGGGGGTTTGGTCATGTGACATCTTACATGCTTCTTATTTTACGCTGGGAAAAATGTCAAATAGCATTTGTGTCTTTGCTGCTTCTCACTGTGAGGCAACGCAAGAAAAAACTATAACCGTGCAGATTATAACTGATATTTAAAGTTATTATATAGGTGATAAATCAACTTACCACAGAGCTCATCGGTGTCCACATTGCTGCAGAGAGAAATAATGAGAGATATTTTAATAAAGAGAATTCCTCACATGTCAACGTTTCCAAGGTTAACAGAGGTGACATTAATACATTTTCGTCCCTTTAAAAACTGTTTTTTCTCAACAGTCTATGATTTGGTGAATGATTGAATGATGACAAGCGGGACCAAGTCAAACATGAATCATGAATAATTAAATCAATACGTTGCTTTTTGTTGGCTGGTGGTCCAGACAGTGAATATCTCACAGGAAAGCCTTCAGAAATGTTTGTGATGAACGTTCATGCATGAAAGTGTATAAGTAATACACAGAAATAAAGACAATAGCTAAAACAATTGAAATAGTGTCCACAGCTTGATTCAAGAGACACGTTATTCCTTGTTACAGTGAAGGAGGCTGGGGATTTACTCGATCAATCAGACCAAACAGACCGGTGCTAGTGGAGTACTTCAGTAAAGTCGACGGGGGGGGGCTAGTGGAGTACTTGACCACAAAGCGTGAACGTTGTGATCAGCTGTTTTAGCGCAGTTCTCCAGTGAAGGGGGGGGGCAGTCTCCCTCCGCAGCCGGTTGACGTAGTTTTGGCACAATTCCGTTGTACAGACCGACGTTAACAGCAGCCCTGTCTGTGCACACGGAGACCGACTCTGTCGTCCGGTGATCTAACCGCCTTCTGGAAAAGCTTCACAAGTAGGCCTACGCAAATGCGCTTTGTGACACAAATGACAGTCCGCATTTCAGATTGCTGCCGCGCATGCGTACCTGCGTACCAGTTATGCACAACCCTGGTTATAGAGTTCTGCTAGTCCTCTTGTGAAAGTGCAATTAAACACGTTTCCCGCACAAATTAAACTGAATTTAAACTACATGAAATGTCTTTGCTTTTGTATTTATTTGAAGAATAAAGCAACCTGAGAAGAGTTAACAGTGACGGTGCTATATATAGAGTTCATTATCTCAACAGCATAATTAGGTGCACTGCACAAGCAAACCGTATATTATGAGCGCCTTCAGCTGAACTTAAATTGCTACCAGAAAGACCTCACAGCTTATTGACTCATCCGTTGATCAATACAGGATTCAAGTCCCACTTCCTAGCACCTTTACTATCTGTCAGATGAACACAGAGGAAGCCACATGTTTGCTTTGATCCAATTTAAGTTCAGCTCTAGATGCAAATATCATACTGTCTGCTTGTGCATCTAATTATGCTGTTGACATAATGAAACAGTTATATAGTGCCATCATTGTTAACAACTCTTGTTTGTTTGACACATAAATGACAGATACTCTCATAATTCACAAATTCTTTTATGGATAATGAACCGTTGCAATGTACCAATGTAATATCTTATTCTCTTTGACTGCAGACACTTTCAATCAGTGGTGATATTCATTCAATTACATGTAAATACCATAGACTTTTTCTGCCAGGATAATTTTCCTGTGTTTGTTGTAATAATACAAGTTTTGCCCACTAAAGTGCATCAACTGGGAAGTTGGTAAGTGAGTTTTAGTTTCTTGATTCACCTATTAACTTGTTGGTTTGCAACATTATTGCTTCAACATCACCTGAGCAGCATCTCATACAGCAAAATATACCAAGACAATTTCTTCATCCGTCACTGTAGAGAAGATTGGGTTCAATTATGAAATTTAAGCTTGACTGACGTGAACCTAGTGACTCGAGAAAAACAGGAAAATGTAACTTTAGTTGATTCTGTTCCTAGTTAAGTATACTTACTGTACTTTAATTAGTACCATTGGAAAAAAACTATTTTGTGTAGCAATACATTGGAAGCAGTTTCTTTGAGGGGAACAATTCTGCTTTATTTGGTGCATGTAAATGGTCTGCAAAGGCTAAAATCCCCAAATTCCCTCCAGTGGGAGTTTCCTGCCTGTTGGCGTCAGCTGATAGAGATGTTATGATTCTATCTTGTTATGCACAATATTGATTATTCTCTCTGAACTAGCTAAATACATGGGTCTGGGGTAGAGTTCTTCAGAATTGATTGTGGCATCTTTACCGTGTGGTCAACTCGTGGCCCGTGACATGTCTTGTGAATTCTCCTGCCGAAGCTCCAAATAAACCGCCAGTGTTTGCCATCAAAGCTCCAGCTCTCCTCGTGTCTCTCTAAGTCCTGTTTCCAATTGCTTCAGAAGTTTCCCCCACAAGTCTAAGCTGACTTAAAGTTATTATGTTAACACAGAGTGATAACTTTAAGCTGGCTGTGAACTTTTAGTCCTCTTTTATTAACCTTCTAGCTGGCTATGTGTACACACTATTAACATGGACTTATATACAGGATATGAGAAATGAATACAAAATATCAGTTATATTTTTTGTTTTTATTGAATGCAAGTGTTTTATATTTTACTTTCAATTCCACCTGTAAAGTTTATTAAATAAACAATAACAATCTCAAGACTGGTAATTGTCTTAAATAAATGATTTTATAGAGTTAATTCAAAGTGGATCCAAATTCACTTAAATTCTAAACTTTTCAGCGTTAATGTCATCACGGCCTGACATCTCGGTGGAAGTGATGTCCTCAGCAGGAAGGATGTGATATGGCGGACATCATTACATGTCTTGAGCACAGATGTAAGCTATTGAATTATCACAGCCAAGGTCATTGTATTTCCCATCTGTTGGCAAATGGAAGTCAAAGATTAGATACAAAAACATTAAAAGACAGTTCATCTGGACAAAGATTTCGTTTTCAATCAATGTGTCAACAACAACAATAATAATTGTGTACCAGTATGCACCTCCATGCAGTTTTCTCCATTAGCATCGTTTGGTTCCCCAGCACCCCAAGCGGCAAAGGTGAAGGCAGAGCCGTCGCTCCACTTCCAATTGTTCTCCTGCAAAAGGTTTTCAAAAGGCAGAGCTCAAGCTTCTTAGGTATTAAGACAACCAAACTGTACTTGTTCCTGGAGCATAAGTCAAACTGAGCAGGAACTCAGCGTGAGTAAAAGGAGATAACAGCTGTGGTATTAGGAGTGTGGGAAACTAGTGAGTTTACCAAACCAGAGTACAAAAAACGATTTAAGCAAGGTAACCTGATTCATCAATGTGTTCACAAAAGGTTAATCCATGATGTATGTCAATCATTCTCAGTATATGAAAATAGGTGTGGAATCCTCATCCATTTTGCGCTAAAACAAACAAAGCAAGTCACTATTAAACTCAATAGAAAATGCAAACAAACCAGTTTTAAAATGTGGGATTATGCTACCAAACCTTAATCAATAAATGTATTTCTATTGCCCCAATGTGGCAATGGGGAGCACAAGGGCTGACTTTAAATCCTCCAGCTGTTAATGTTTAACACTCAGAAGATATAATTATAAACACTAACCACATCTATCTGTAAAGTCACTCACCATGACAGCATCATAGCCTCCGATCCAGGCACCATATGTGATGCTTACGATGTTTGATAAAATTACAGATTTCAAGAATTCCTGCTCTTCAACGTCTGCCACGGAGACCTAAAGAGGGAAACATGAACAGAAGCTGAGTGGAAAGAAAGAAAGGTGGAGGGAGGATTTTATTTCTTGCCATGAATGATAATATTAACTCTTAATGTCGACATCACCTCTGCATCGCTCCGAGACTTTGGAAGTGAGGAAGAAGACGAATGTGAGGAAGCATACACTCCCTCACTAACATTTGGCTAAACACATTTTTTATAAGGAAAGGTAGGCATTGTTCTTTTCTTCAAAGTTTATAATATGAAGTTATATATACTAAGCACTTAAATTAACTTTTCTATTAAAAAAACATGTCTTGAAGACAAACAATCATGATTTTAATTAATTAATTAGAGTGTTCAGTGCTGGAAGCCACCTTGAGTCCAAAATACTCATTTTATAGTGTGGTATGAGTAGGTGGAGTTTGGGAAGTAATTGGTCGATGAGGTGTGATTTATTGTTGGCCAATTAACTTCACAACAATTTTGTGCAAGTTCATGAATCGATTTAGGCCATGAGGATTTTGTTAGATGTAGAAAACAATGTTTATTCCTGTGTTTGACTGTTCACTCTCATTCCAGAGTCATGACCATGAGGTTGAATTGGGAAGGTGGGCAATCTGCTATAAATGTGACTGGAAAGAGAGGGGGTGTAATGTTTCTGTGAAATAATGTTTTCTGTTGAAAGCTATAAATAAAATGCCTTTTTTTTTCTCCAAGAAAACCCTCTCTCAAATTGTTATGTTTTATCACCTCACATTACAACAACACTGTAAAATGATTCAGGCGTGCATTAGAAATACTTATTTACGTTGAACTGAATTATAAAAACAATAAAAAGGAAAACGTTTGTATTGACCTGCAGATGTCATCTATAAACAGCAAAAGAACAATTTTCGTTTACTTTCAGCAGGTGAGTTTATATTTAATTTTTAAATCTAATAAATTCTCCAGCCATTTCTTTTCAACCATATTATAAACTGAAAATTAACAATGTTTATTTAATTTAAAAATAGTTTAAAAACACTAAACAATGACAGGGAGATTGTTTAGTGTTGTAAATATATGATGAAGAAATCATAATAATATACTGTATATATATATATTATATAATCTTTTACTTACCAGCACCAGTCCACTGATAAGTAAGAGCACACCAAGATGAATAACTGATGCCATCTGTTTAAATATAAAATAGGAAAGTAAATACAACACACTGCGTGGTTGCAGAAAACACTTGCATTCAGATACTCTGAAGAGCCTTAACACTGGTATGAAAGTCAATCTGTTCCATTTGATTTAGAAATTAAAAAGCCATTGTCTTTCAAGCACTTAATAATTATGAATCGGAATTTTTTGCCTCTGAAATTCATTGTTCGAATTTTCTACAACTCATTTTCACAATTTGTTTTCAATGTTCACAAATTCAGTGGCAAAAATTCAGTTACAAATCAATTTCCGTGACCAACGCAGTGAATAAGCGTAGCTTGAATTGGCTGGGCGTTTGACTTGATCTAAAATCGATTGCTTTTCCTTGGGTTCCAGGATGATGATCTACATTTTTTGTAGCTAAATATTTGCAGCTGCATTTGTGAACATTAAAAAAAGGTGAAAACAATGTGTTTTCGAACAATGGAATTCAGAGGCAAAAGATACATAATTTCAATGCATAATTTTTCAGATGGAACAGATTTACTTCCATACACTGGGCTGATTCAAACAGGTTTTTAATTCATTAAAATTCGAAATACTTTCAATTTTACTTTTTAACTTTTCAATACAATATTTTCAATTTAGTGACGTCCAAGCACCCTTAAAATAAAGTTATCTTTTGGAAGAAAATTCCTATTATAATTAAGAATAATAATTTGATGCAATGCTGAGAGGGAAGTCTTACCTTTGTTGTGAGGATTATCTGATGATGTTGTCTTTGCGGAAGAAGGTAGTGAGTGATGGAGGGAAAAGAAAACGCAGTCTTTATAAACCTTCAGCTGTGGCTTAAAGAGTTCATTTAAACACTGTTCAATTATTCCAATGAGGACACGTTCAATACAATTTGGCAATTTCCCATGAAAGGAAGGTGTGAAGTGAGCCAATATTACTCCACCTTGGACAATTTAGGGTTTATACGTGGCCTTTGAACAAACCCCTCTGGATGTTAAGGTGTAATCTTGTTTAACTTCTAATTAACTCAATTAACTTAACCTAATTCACTTAAATGTGTCATAGGACACATTTAAATTGCGTTTTTTAGAGTAAGGACATATTGTTCGGCTCAAGTCACACCTTTTAGTTTCAACGTGTATGTATTGTAGAAAGAAATAACATACAGAGTCTTGAGTTTCATATATTTCAGTCATCGTCAAGACAACTTAATTCCCATAATGCAACTCAATGATCTTTGTATTCACATCATCATGACAGTTATCTTTAAGTCTGACATATGTATGAAAAAAGGGCGGGAGTAATGGCTTAGGCAAAGAGAGTCCTTGCAAACCAAGATAGAGTAAGATAAGAGTAATGGATAATGTAACTAAGTTTAATTTAGAATAAAATATGAACTTTATGTTTTTATCAGAGAAGCATTGAGCCACTTAGTATCGGCCACATCCGTCTGCGGTGCTGAACAGTAGCAGTATGATAATAAAAAGGGTTTGTTTGACTTTCATCAATATTATTTAATGAATATACGCTTTAGGGTGTATATACTAAATAATTGTTTGTATTTACTAAAGGTGTGTTGAATCTGTTACTCTTTGAAAAAGTTAAACAGTGCTTTGCAAGGAGAGAATAAAACGCTGAAAGTTTATAAAGACTGCATTTCCTCTCCATTAATAACTCACTGCCTGCTTCTGCAACATCATCAGATCATCATCAAAGATATGTCTTTAATCCTTCCTCTCAGAACTCAGAGAAATGTTCTATAAGGAGGGTGCTTGGATGGCACAAAATTAAATTAAATGTTTTAAAAGTTAAAACAGCTTTAATTTTAATTAATCAAAAACATGTTTGAAAGAACCCAGTGGTTAAGCTCTTCTGCTTTGTCTGAATGCAAACATGCAAATGTCATTTTTCTGTGTACGACCATGCAGTGTGTTGTATTACATTGGATTTCAATGACTACTTTTTTTACGATTATGTATTTTAGTGTTGCCTCTGTGTTTAGTGTCCTGTCTGTCTGTAACTTTGTGTGGTAGTGTTACCACTGAACAGGTCTCTCTTGAAAATGAGACCTTGTGTCTCAATGAGATTTTACACCTGTATAAATAAAGGCTAAATAAAAAAATAAAATAAAATTGCATTCCCTATTTTATCTTCAAACAGATCAGTCATGATTTTAAATTAAGTTTATTTTCAGTTTAAACTATTTAAACATAAACTCACCTGTTTAAAGTGAACTAACATGTTTCTGTTAGATGTTGTTACACATTGAAATACATCTATTGTTTGAGTTTTTATTCAAGTAGCACAGTATGGTTTGAAATGCAACTTTCATAAAAATCCTTCTCCTTATCAAAGTTTCTGCTGAAGAGCCAATACGTGCATTCCATTAAACTGTTTCTTTAAAAAGATGTTCTACAACTATAACACATTGATGGCAAAAATACAATTGTACATGGAGACTCCTCTAGCAAAGTAACAATACTTATGTTTCATGACACAATACCAGTTAGCTTGCTGATGGCCTACCATGGGTTAAGATGACTAAATACATGCATTAAAAATAGGGGGTTTAACCCGTTGTTCATATACTCTGTTTGTGCATACATTGTTAAAAGAGGTAAACCCTTTTCTGTGCAATTTATATTAAACATATTATCCTCCCTAGTTCTGGACACTATCTGAATTATTATTTCAATATCTTCAAGGCTTGAGCCAGGCCTAATCAAAATACTCAATTGTTGGTACTGTGCCTTTATCACGTTTCAAAGGGTAAATGTCCTGAAGTGTAGCTCCATCCTTCAGGAGAACGAATGGCAGCGACGGCTCCAGCTTCACCTTCAGCGCATGGCGAAGAGGGAGCCGAACAATGCTGGAGTTGCAGACAAAACGATTGTTGTTGTTGTCACATTGATTGATGTCTATTAAGAAGGGACATGAACACAGAACAATCTTTTTTCAACAATATTGAAGAAGGATATTAGTAGATTTGATCAATTGAAAGTTAAATCTTTGTCTAGATGAACTGCCTTTTTATGTAATAGTTTTGTTTAATCTTTAACCTGCAAATGGGAAATACAATGACCTTATCTGAGCAAGAACTTACGTCTGTGTTGAGGAAATGTAATGTCCGCCATATCACATCCTCCATGAAGAAGACATCACTTCCATCCATATGTCAGGCCTCGATGACATTAACGCTGGAAAGTCTCATCCTGATTTGGATCTTCTTTCAACTAACTTGTTAAACGAAGTATTCATTCTCAATGTAACAACAATTTCGGACCACAGCTCAACATGTCTGTGTGCGGATTGGGATTTAATTGAATAAACTTGATACCTGAATACTTGCATTCAATAAAGACAGAAAAACTATTGATGTCATTTTTCACATCCAGTTTAATAGTGTGTGAAAGATCTACTCATCTTTATATAACATAAGAAGACAGTTACTTTGCCATCCAAATGTCCTAAAGCTGCCAAGTTCCATTAAATCCAAACTGCATCACCTTCTACATCTCCTCCATTATTCACAACTCACTTCTGACCTCTATGGAATAAAGTAAGAATATAAAAAAGCAAAAAAATGTACTTACTCTGTGTTGTGAGTGTCAATCGTGTGGAAGAGCTCCTGCAACTCTTCAGCTGTCAAGACTCCGTCAGAGAAGTAGGATTTGAACTCATCAAAGGAAAGTTTTCCATCATCTGGGGAAGGAGCACAAAAGGGAACTTGTCAACACAGTGCTAGGACATCGGGTGAAGTGGCCATTTTCATAGACTCGCTACATACAAAAGATGTTTGAGTTAAAAGTCTCATTTGTTCTGCACGTGTGTTGTACATAACAACCGTATGAAATGTAAGCTTTCATGGCGGGCAAAATATTTAAGGAGCACTGTAGCTCAGATTTAACTCCTCATGTTTCAATAACGTAAAAAGTGTAATGATGTTAAATAAAAAATGTAAGTCGACCTGATAAGCAGAAAAAAAAAGGCTGACATGAGACCAGATACAGCCCCTTATAAACTGCAGGGGCTGAATCAGCAAAATACAGCATCAAGCAAATTGATCAATGTCCCTTTAAATTAACACAAAAACATTGAAACATTATTTCTTGTTTTTAATGTTGTAGTAAAGAACAGGGAGAGATCACCATGTGTTGCTTTAACCAACTTCATGGAAATCCGTAACAATGATTCATTTTTATGATTTGAGGCAATCATGCTCAGAATAAAAAGGCTTTAGCTATGTGAAATATGGAAGAGGTAAAAGTAAACAACATGTTTTCTTGTAGCAAAATCATCGACCACAGGTGAAATATTTTTCCTGGCTGCAGTATTCTGTTTGTGTGACTAGAGGTGGCTGATCTTAAAATGTTCACAGGATGTGTGTTGCATGTCACTATATGTGAGCAAGAGGGATGCACCAATGAGAACGCACATTCCTCAAGGGCACACTGACTCACTCGATGAGCTCAGAAATAATCTTGGAACGGACCTGCCATATTAGTGCTGTTTACACAACAAAAACAACAAAAATGTGGGATGACTTCTTACCTTGCTGCATGACAAGACACACAGCACGTAAATAATGAGTTTTAATAAGCTCTTTTGGCTCCTTGAGGATTTTCTTTGCTAGATTCTGTCAAATGTCAGAAGAAAAACACGATGTGGTTTATTTGTGTGATACCAGCAATCATTGTCACTGGTGAATACCTTACATCAGTGTTTCTCAAACTTTTTCTGTCAGGCCCCCCCTTTGGAGAAAAAAAAAAGTCGGGCCCCCCCAACACAAATAGTCAGGCTCAGTGGCGGCGCCAGAGATTTATTTTAGGGGTGCTGTGGGGTAGCTTGACGTTTCATAGAGGGTGCTCAAACATTTTGGGTTTCCCATTAATTAAGCAGGGGTAAAGTGCTATTTTTCTATAGGTGGTGTGTGGACCTCACATAGGGGGGTCCGGGGGCAAGCTCCCCCCGGGAAGATTTATTTTTAAATATTGAAGTTAAAAGCATCAATCTGGTGCACTTTGAGAGCAAAATGAAGAGATCTATGGATACAATTCTCAACAACCATATGAAACAGAACTGTCAACAGATTTACTTTTTCTTTATGGATATTTTACAAACCACCCTTTTAAACTTTATTCTTTTTTTGATGTCATATAGTATTTCATACCTGTTTTTCATTTATTCTTTTATTTTTTTATAACTATAATGATCATATAACGTGTGCCTCGGAAATAATTGTTTACATTAATGGTGACCAAAACGTTTGAGACCCACTGAGATAACTTAGACTAAAGTTAACTATCTAAACACTCAGAGAGTCCTTTAGTTCACTGAGCCTCTCAGTCTGACAGGAGAGGACTCTTTATATCCATTAGCGTAGCTCGCTAGCACCAGAAGCTAACAACTACGATCTCCGGTACGCTTTCTCTCTCTCGCTCGCGCACACACGCACACAAAATGGCTCGTTCCACACACACACAGAGCTGAGCTTTAATGAAACACAGGGACCCAGACGTAATAGTACTGTATCATATTATTTTCGAATCAATAATCTTTCAAATTATGATCTTTTTTTATTTTTTTAAAAATAACCATTTTCCATCTGGTCTCTCGCGCCCCACCTTTCATGCCTCTGGGGCGCACCCCCCACTTTGGGAACCACTGTGTTGAGCATTCAACCAATGTGTTAGGTTCGGCTGTAAAGAAAGCCTTAAACCTGCATTATTTTTATTAACCAGCAGAGATGGACTGGTTGCAAAAATGAGTCAGATTGAATAAAAGTCTATGGAAAAATAAATCAGATTATTATAGATGCTAGGGTTGCTCAGGTACCCTTTTTTTCATCAATGTGAAAACAATAGTAAGATCACTGTATACAACCCATGAGTGAAAGAGGTGTCCTGTAAAGATAACCTTCCCAAAAACGTTTGCCATATAGTTAGTTCAGGTTAATAAAATGTGTGTGCTTGCACATCACTTGGCTGTTACAGGGTTTTCAGCTGACAGAGCAGTGCAACACGGATTGGACGAGGATATTATAAAGCAATAGTTGATGTGGAAACTTGTAAAAATAAAAATTAAGTGATCAGGACCTTCAAATTAGAATGACTATCCACCTGTGTTTGCATCTTCCCGTTGACTATCCTTCACTCATGAAGAAGCTGTACTGCTTAGAAGGGCAAAAAGACAATGATGGTAATGCCTTCAAGTGTGGGTAGGTTAGTAATTGCATGGTTAAGTGAGTTTATGTGTTTGCAGCGGGAGCGGGTGGTTTCAGGTGCATGAATCTATCAATGATAAACTACTTGTATCTGTAGGCAATAGAGACACATTTGCACACACTGTCACACACAGTGTAAAACAAGTCTATTATGTTGGCAATGATAGCTTTGCTCTACGCTCTAGGCTTCTGTTCGGGGCCAGAGAGCTGTTATTAGTGCGTGGGAGATAACAGAAAAACAGACACACAAACGCAACGGCTAAGGCATATTGTAATAGACTGACAGGAGATGTCGGCCTGTAAAAAATATTGGAAACCTATGGATTCTGACATTCTTTATATGTTGTGCTTTATTGAACTCTCTCTTAAGCGAGTACACAGTATCAGGGGCGGCGCCAGGGGGGAGCTAGGGGGTGCTGAAGCACCCCCCAGGATTGCCAAAGCACCCCCTAAGCACCCCCAAGAAATATGTTTGTTTTTAAAAAAAAAATTGTTTAAATTAAATTAGAAAAATTATTGATTACATCAATGCAAATGTGAAACAAACAAATGTTTGACCAAAAACAAATATCTATAAAGAAATAGTAAATCTGTTTACAGTTCTGTTTCATATGTATGTTGACAGATGTATCCATAGATCTCTTCATTTTGCTCTCAAAGTGCACCAGATTGATGCTTTTAACTTCAATATTTAAATAAAATCTTCGGGAGAATTTCAAAATGCAAGATGGGGGAGTGCTAGTGGATCGCCGGAGCTGTTAGATTAACATTAACATGCTTATATTGTAGTTCTAAGTGCAATGCCTTGCGGCCTGTAACACCATCTTTGATGGAGCATATGTGTGGGCAGGAAAGGAGTGAGCAGAGAGGAGAGTAGTTGTCGATTTTTGTTCTGTTTTCTGTGACTATCTGCCTCACCCTATCAGACTTTCAGTTGCGCGCTACTAAAGAGACGTGTTACCATGGAAACCAAACAATGGTTCAGCTGTATTAAAGTCCGAGTGGAAACAGTTGTGTGTAAATCTGATTTTTGTGAGAAATCGGGAGAAATGCGGGAGAAATATGACCCCGGGAGGAAACCGGGAGAGGGCAAGAAATCGGAGGTCTTCCCGCGGAAAATCGGGAGGGTTGACAATATGAGTGCAGTAGAAAATTCAACTGTAGCGCTGGTGCATTAATGGGAAACCCTTAAAGTTTGAGCACCTCTATGAAACGTCAAGCTACCCCACAGCACCCCTAGAGAAAACTCTGGCGCCGCCACTGCACAGTATACACATATGCATGATCATCGAGGAACATCAGGACAAGTCAAAAATGGGCCGCGAATTATAACCTGACATTAATACGACCAAATCCAAAATACTGTTGAAACAAATCCAAGGTTTGTTATGTTGTTTTGTATGCAGTGAAATGGTATGCAAAGTCAAAACCCCTTAAAAGTACACCCCTGTAGCGAGGATAAAAACTAAACACAGAGAAAATACCTGTGAGAAATGTAAACCGGAAGTAAGCGGAGTAAGTTCCCCTTACTGCGATAAATGTCGAATTGATTTTACAGTCGATATCTGGCACTACTCATCGACTAAAAAAACACCAGATTATTGAAGTATTATTTGAATTATTTGAAGTATGTAAAGTAACGTGTTATGGCAGGAAAGTTCAATCTGGTATACTTCATTTAATGTCACCTTATATAGAATGTGTGGTTAAAATTGTGATTTCCTGCATTGAGTGACTTCTGGCCTAAGCCAGATACCAAGGAGAGGCCCCTAGGGGGCGTCTGCTCTGCGTTAAATTACTCACTAAGTCCCTTGCAATCAACAGGGGAATTCCCCCGATACATTTCAGATAAATAAGTGCAGTTAAAAGTGCTGTAGACTATAAATGTTTATCTCCTACACCATCCTGCAGGCCCCTTTGGAAACTTGGGTCACCCAGCATTAAATGAGATAAAGGGTCCTTTGAGCTTATACAATAACAAGTATCATTCCTAAGTAAGGCGGACGTTGGGTGAAGGGAAGTTCAGGGAAGCCATTAAGCGATAAAGAACAATTAACTTCTGTAAAGATACCAGTGATACGAATTGTTGTGTGTGTTAAAGAATGTTAGGGAATGAGTATGGTGTCCTGCAAAGAGTCCTCGGTCATGACCCAAAACATTTGATTGGGGATCTGCCTGAGGGCAGAGGGACAGAAACACCCCACACACACCAGCATACACTGTGAAGCAACAGATGGAATCAACAAAAGCGACTTACTAACCTGGGATCACCGCCGCAGACCGGAAACCAACCAATGAAACACTACCAACGTCCACTGGCTAGCTCGGCTCAGAAGTGAACTCTGTGGGATAAAAGTGATGATCCATTGAAGATCTGGCGGCTCTTGTTTTTGACCCTTGCCCGTTGCCTAGAGACGCGTCTCAGCATGCGGTGGTAGAAACCTGAGCCCGGAAGAACTGCTGTCAGAGTGCTCGTGATTAGGAGATTAGGTGATGTATTTATGATTCTGCCAGGCCGAGGACAGCCCGCAGTGAATAAGGGGTAATTTTTTTAAAAGCTTAAAGGTATCAGTCGCAGAAATATTTTCCAGTTAATTACTACAATAAGGCAATTGTCTTTGTAATTACGCAATTTTCTGAATAGCATGGTTTAAAAATATGCAAATTAGCCATTATTCTCATGCAAAATATGTGCATATTTTAAACACATTTGCAGGATAGAAATCTGTACTTTGGATAAAGCCAGGTTAGATGAAAATTTGTTTCTATATTTGGTAGTCCAGTATTAGTATCTGAGGCTTTACAGAAGGGAGTTTGGATATCTCTTTTTATCACTCCAATAAAATCCAGAAAATAGCTGTCAACCAGCCCTAAAATATTCAATTTTTGGCCATGGTTTTAGGTATACATGTTGTCATATATTCAGGCTATGATGATATAGTGAGAACAAGACGCCCTTCTGTTAAAAGCCTTCCAATGAATATTGATAGAATTATAACTGGAAAGGTTGGTGTGTCACGTGCAGCCTGAATTGAAATTTTGAACCTCAGAGAGGCAGAAAAAAATCATTGTTGAGAAAAAACGACCTTGTAAAGATGGCAGCGAAGGCGGCTAGGCTAAAACCCCTCCCTGTTCTTTGGAATGACAGCTGCGCCTCCGACGCAGCTCCGGTGAAGGTATTCATGTCGGGGTCATTTGTTTTTTGTAATAATGCTTGCTTGCGTGGGCAAGTGACAACTCGTTGTCATCTTCCTGTAAAACTTTTTTTTTTTTCGCCCGTTCTTGTTGCCATTTGAGATTGTACATCTAGGCGGAAAAGGCTAACCAGGAAGTGTTTTGGCCACACACGTGACGCAACTGAACGAAATCACGTTTGTCTGAAATGACACCCAGGCCAATGAGATTTCGTTTCTGGTTTAAGACCGCCTTTGTGCTTTCACCGATTGGTTGCTGATACAAAGGAATAATGACCATATTAGATCCGAGAGATTGTCAGGAGAGACACAAGCTTTCTAACGATAAGTCTCTGTTGACATGGTGCACAGCAGCGGTCAGCGGACTTTTATGTTACTACGAAAGCAAACTTTGGTGAATTAGGAAAAGCAAATCTAACTGACGCAAATAGACCCAAACCCTATAGTAATAAAACATAAAGGGTATTTTGTAGCGTTTCCTTCCAAAACCTGAAAGAAATACATTGTTATATTGAATCAAAATAGGCATAAAAGCCAAAATTGACCGTGCTTGAAAAACAATGTTTTTGCCGCCGGTCTCGCCTTTAAGCAGATTATTGTTTAGCCCCCTTAATCCTGGGCGCTGCTTGAATTTCCCTTCCTTTGAGAAATCCGTCATATAGGAAACGGCGGCCCGAGCAGAGATTCGGGCCCAACATTATCCTTGTTAATTACACCAACATTGATTGTTTAAATTGTGTGCAAGCTTTATGTATTTTTCCC